CCTTGCCCACCTGGAAACCTCTCAGAAAACCCAACTCAACAGCCCGCCTCATCAATCTACTGAGAGCCTCCATCACAAAGAGGAACAAGAAAGGGGAAAGCGGATCCCCCTGCCTAAAGCCCCTCAAGCTAGAGAAAAAACCCGTCGGAGCTCTAAGCTCCATTCACAAAAATAGAGAAACGAGTACTGGAAATACAAAAATGAATTAATTTCCTCTAACGCATTCCAAACCCCATCCTCTCCATCAGGTAGAGAAGGAAGCTCTAACTCACATGATCATACGCCTTCTCAATGTCCAACTTACACAGAACACCCAGAACCCCACTGCGCAATCTGGAGTCCACACACTCGCTCTTGGGAATGAGAGCAATGAAAGTGACATTCAAGCTCTTCTCAAAAGAGCCCTAAGTGTGGAAAGCATGAAAAGTGGCCATCACCTCCCCTTTAACCACCTCACAGTACTCCAAAAGGAATCTCATTGTAAACCCATCTGGACCTGGGGCTTTATCCCCGTTATAACTCTTCAAAGCAACCAAAACTTCCTCTTCAGAAAAAGGCTCCTCCAGACCAGAGCACTCTTCACTAGAAATAGAGTCAAACTGAGCCCCTCAAGCAAGGGTCTCCACCCAGCAATCTCTGTGAACAACTTCGCATAGAACTCAGTAATACCTTTGCCAACCCTTCCTCCTTACACAAAAACTCCCCTTCCACCCGAATCTGCCCAATATGATTGCCCCTTCTATGGGCATTGGCCAATCTAGGGAAAAACTTCGTGTTCTTGTCACCCTCCTTGAGCCATAAAGCTCGAGACTTTTGCCTCCACGAGATCTCCTCCATGATAGCAATCTCCGCAAACTCCGCCTGACACTCCACCTTCCTAACCTTCAAGGAATCCACCAAGACCCCTGACCCTCCATCCGGTCAATATCAGCAATCTCAGAAAAAACCCGATTCTTCCTCCAAACAAGATTCCTGAAGACCTCTTTGTTCCAAATCTTGATACTTTCCTTAAAAAGGCGCAAGTTACCTGCGAGCGTATGACTTAGGGTACCAACCACCCCATACCCTTCCCACCAGAATCGGACACATATTCTCGAATCTGAAAGGAGATTGCCGTCTGCGCAACCCACTGCAATCCAACATCAATGGAACATGGTCAGAGATAGGGCGAGTCAAAGTAGCCTGAATAGCATCAGAAAACTTCTCCTCCCAATCTCCCGACCCAAGGAATCTATCAAGCCGAGAGAGGGTAGGAGGAGAGCGACCACTAGACCAGTCCTCCCTCCAAGGGCAAATCAACCAGCCTAGAAACATCAATAAACGCCGAGAAGGACTCCATGTCAGACGTCCACCTACCCCTCGTCGATCTCTCAAAAGGAGAATGAACAACATTGAAATCCCTTCCAACACACCACGGCAGCAAGCATCACCTTCTAACATCCCTTAGCTTCTCCCATAGCAAATGTCGCATAATGTCCTCCGTAGGCCCATAAACTCCATAAAAGACCCAATGAAAACCATCCTCCACCAAAGAGAGCACACACGAATCAGAGAATCTCCCAATCCGAGATTCCACCAAAGACACCCATCTGTTATTCCACATAATAAGGTTTCTTGCAAACACACCACATGACCTCCCCCTTTACTAATAATTGACTTCACCACTTTTCTCCTCACCGGGTCATTGAGACCCCGGACATTCCATGACAAAATTTGTACATCCATATTTTTAAAGCTTTTAAAAGAATTCCACATATTTCATGTTTTAACCTTTTTTTTTTTTTTTTTTCAATATTTCTAAAAATCTTTGATCAGACGCGCATGTCCAGGGCCGTTTCCAATGCACGCCCGTCTAACATGTGTTAGTCAAGGGTATGCATCTCTAGTTACCTCTTGACACAAACTCATCTACCAAACTCTCTCCTATTAGATGAGTAGATTATAATATATATATATGTATATATGTATATATATATATTAGATGAGTATATATATAACAAATGATGTAGTTTAGTTGAAATATATTTTTAGTTACATAGATATTAATGGTGACTTGGTGCTATGACTTGATTGCGAATATTGATGGTTTTCAGGGATTTTTCAATGTCAAGGGGATATTTGCCCAAGAAATTGATAGTGAGGGATCCATTTTGCCCAAATATAATACAACTGAACAGACTTGCAAATATCTCTCAAACTATTATAAATCACAAATGAAGCGTCGTTACTAAGTGTGGTCCTCGTTAATCTAGGGTGCTGAAAGTAGGGTTGCAACTCGGGTGGGTTTGAGAGGTCAAATCTAGACTCAACCTGGATTACAGAGACCTCAGTCCAAGCCTGAGCCTGACCTGACCTTCAATCTGAAGAGCTTAGCCAAGCTTGGGTTGATTAAGTTTATAACAGACTCACAGTGCATATTTTTCTAGTGTTTTCTATAACCTTCAACATTCTAATTTTTGTAAATTTTGGCCATTACCATAATTTTCCTTATTACACAACCAATTTTGATTGACACGTGGCAGTAAGGGTTGTTGACTCATGTTGATGGCAATGAGGGTTTTCTATTTTATATTGATTACAGTTGTAATGAAGTTTTCTAATCTTAGTTTGCTGTTGACAATGATTGGTTTCTAACTCTTGTTTGATGATAACAGTGAGAACCTTTGATTGGTTTTTGCAGTGACACCTAGGGTTCTAACTATGGTTCAATGACATTGGCAACAATGGAAAGCAATCCATTCTCTAAGTGAGCCTTAGATGAAGGATGGTGGCTAGGATTTTTAAGTGACAACCGCTAGGGTCTTTTCAGTGAATCACAATGAAAGGGAAGAGAGAGGGTTTTCCTATTTGATCTAAATGAAAGGTGTTAAAATTTCATTCATAATAGTAACAATAACATGTCGGATTGGCTTGGATTGTCAATCCCTCTACCCAAATCCCAACTTGAGTCGGGTTGTCTATTTCCTTCTACGGAATAGAGTTGCCCACGCCTGGTGACGGAGCAAGGAAATTTACTGAGATGAAGGGGGAAGGAGGGTTTTAGGGGGGGGGGGGGGGGGGGGGGGACAAAATGATAAATATAAAAAATTATATTTTGATTGAGAATACTTTTATTTGTGACATTTATAATTGTTCTCGATGAATTTTAATATTAAGCAAGATTTTCATACAAAATTGAAGAGAAAAATCATGTATATTTAATAAACAAAATTATGCAATATAAAACGAACACAAATGTATGCTTGTATTCCAATGTGTGTATATCTCATTTCCTCTTGTAGTGCATACTATTGAGAATTTTCTAATAAGTCAAATTATTTGCTTGCAATAAATAAAAAATTAATGAAATGAAACTTGTTTTTGTATTGAAAACTTGAACAATTTTCAGTTATGTTCTCCAAATAAAAAATTAACTTATAATTAGATTAAATCAAATAAATGAAGAATTGTGCAGTTTACAATATGAGTCTTCACATTTTATAGCGGGTGTATATTCATGATTTCCAAGTATCATATACAAATAAAGTAGTTTAAAGAGAAGCAGACACTTTTTTTTAATTTTTTTTTTTAGGTTTTGTTTTCATACCTTTTTAGAGATTGAAATAGCTGAAAAAGAGCCGTGTAGTATAGAAAAACAGATGATTAAAGATGGAGATATGAAGTGCCCAATGATAAAGGAGAGAAAGAGAGAGTGAATTTGAGACTAAATATTAGAAGTATGGGACAATTTTAACATTTATAAAATTCTATATGTAAAAAATTTGAAGGGGCACTTCTAAAATCTATATATACAAAAAACAAGTATAAAATGAGAGAGAAAGAGAGTCGATTAGATAAATATTAAAGAATATCAGAGGGGGCAGATTTATATATTAGAAATTTTTTCATAATTTTTGTGGGGACACTTTCAAAATTTTACAGAGTTTATAGGTGTATAATAAAAATAAAAAAAGTTCAGTGGGGGTGTACGTAGCTCCGTGCCTGCCCAAGCCTGACAAAAAATTGAGTTGGGCTTGCAAACCTAGCAGAGAGGAACAAATTAAATATAAGCTTTAACCTCTGGCATCATATGTACAAAGTGGATGCTCTTGAGATTCGAACATGAGCTCTCAAACTCGACAATCCAAGCATTTTACAACGACAACAGGGAATGACCCCTAAAATGAATCAAAAATAAAAACCAAAACAGAAGGTGTTTACCTACAATTCTGTGTTGTGAGAGAGTTTGGAAGAAATAAGCAAAAAAGTTTGGAGAAATCTAGATTTCAAGCTTTGACACATTAAGAATCTGTGGGTTAGAGAGTTAGGAGGACAAGGTTTATGAGAGATCTCGTGCGAGCGCGCACATATAGAGAGAGAGAGAGTTCACTGATTGGGAATTGTTTTGAGAGAGAGAGAGAGCACTTAAGGGGAAGCTTTGGTGATTGGGGATCATCTTGGGGAGAAGAGAAAAATGAAAGAAGACGATAAGGGAGATGACTCAGATGAGGGATTTGTCCAAGAGAGGAGTTCACTTCTGGATTTGAACACACACTATGGGTTTCTGATGTTTGACGGAATGTCCAATATGTTTCCTTTGTATGAAGTGTTTTTACCCATTTGTTTGCCACAACACAAGGAAGCATAATTTTTTATTTTTTGTTTCCATTTCGGGTTCTCTGTTGATTTATTTTCAACTCCAGAAAAGCATGCACACCAAACATGTTTCTTCTTCAACTTCCTTTTATTGTTTTTTGCAACACAAAACAGTAGCATTGCCAAACGCACACATAGTTCACCGTACATATTTCCCCAGAGATGTGCATTAATAGGAAATGGAAGCTCAAAATGTGAAAAATTTAATGAGAAGCATGTTAGGAAATCTCATGTGATACCTTGGTGAAGTGATTGGCAGCTTTTTAAATTTTATTGCAATTTTAAGAATAAAATGTTTTGGCTATTAACAATGCCGCCTTCTTTGTTGCCATTATTTGTCGTTCCACTCTTTATACCTCTGAAAGTGAAGGGCAATGGATGGGAAGAATGTTGGGGAATTGTGTAGTCCATGTAAAGAGGATGTGGATACAGAGCATTGCAAGGTTGACTTTACCTTAGAGCAGGAGAGTCACAGCCCAGACATTGCCAATGTCGATGTAGAGCAATCCACTTTATTTGCAGAAGAGGATTTGAAAATAGATGAGTTGCCATCAGTTGGCATGGAGTTTGAATCAGAAGAGGACTCATATGTGTTCTACAATAGATATGCTAGTGTAGTTGGTTTTAGTGTCCGGAAAGATTTTTTAAATAAAAGTAAGGTAAATGGTGCAGTTGTATCTAGAAGGTTTACTTGCTTCAAAGAAGGATTTAGGCGGAAAGACAAACGCGATGTTCATGTGAAGAAACCACGAAAACAAACAAGAACTGGTTGTTTGGCACAAATGACCATATCTCGTCAACCAAATGGTAAATACCGCATAATCCATTTTGAAGCAAATCACAATCATGATGTTGTCAGCCCACATCTAGTTCACATGTTACCATCACAAAGGAGATTAGCATTTGCTCAAGCTGTTGAAGCTGACTTTAGAGTCCAAGAAGACCTTAAGTTGGCATCATCAAGTCGCTACAAGGATATGTGCCTTAACGTAATTAAGATATCAGCAAGGGCTGCCAAATCAGGAGAAGCATTTCAGTTTGCTGTAGAACAATTTGATAAGGTGATACAAGAGGTGGAAAAGATGATGAACGTAAAACCTGCTGATGAGAGTCAAATTTGCAAACATGGTGCAAGTGATTCTGAAAGTAAATGTGTGGCAAAGAGCGTTCACAATGATGCAGCTCAACACAATATTTTTGCTGGTTCTATGAAATTTAGCGAAGATTTACAGGCTCCTGTTTCAAACACCATTTCCTCCATTCCATGCCTGACACCAGCTTACTGTTCGGTTCAACTCCCAACTCCAAGTTTAGTTCCACAGGTAATATACTTTTAATTTTTTATTTAATTAGTTTAGTTTCGCTGGTAGTATACTTTTATTGCCTTCACCTTAATTTGTATATTTTGTGTTCTGATGATTTCATTTATGGAAAAATCTATCACGATGGTGCTTTCACCTTAAGCTCACCATGATAACCTTTCTTTGATAAACCTTGTCACAATTGTTATTTTTTGTGTGCGCACTGCGCAGGGGTTGGATGGTGTTGGAACAAATCCCTTGATCAGTTTCACATATGAAGCACCAAATTTAGCCATGTGCCAACAAAGTGATTACAGCTTTTATCACCAGTCAAACGCTAGTCAACATGGCTTTCTTAGTCATATGCATTTACCGGTAATCACTTATCCGTCTTATTATATTGATGATAACTTACATTTTAGTATTATTTTGGAAAGGATTGTGCGGGTTAAGTTGTTCTCTAATCAACATTATTGGGTATAGCACCAGTCAATTAAGCCCCGAATAAGTTCTCAAGCCGATAATATTTGACAAATTTGGCTTTGGTTATATTGTTCAGCAATTTAAATTAGTGTAAAGTGCAAAAAACCATCCAAACATGCATATGGGCCTTGAAGTATATATAAAAAAAACTAATAGGGTATTTTTGGGTTTTCATCGGGTTAATGGATAATTTCCAACAGTCACATGACACATTTTTGAAATTAAAAAATTGCATTTTCAGATGACAGCTGCTCATTGCATTCTAAAGAAGTTCTTTTCATTGACTTGTAGACAATGGACTCTGAAGACCAACACACTCAGTCTCCTTGATTTACCGTCCTTGGTGGAAAATTAGATGCTGCACTTGTATGGTTGGTGGGGAATTTATATGGTCGTTATGTTTGTTTCCTGTAAATAGGGTTACATAAGCAAGTGAAAATATAAAATAGTTTGCTCACGTGAAAATATAAAATAGTTCTAATGAATATGATAGGATGCAAGTAGACAAATCTGCTGATAGATTTGGATGATGAGGGAGAAGAAGATGAAGAAGAGGACGTTTCAGCTTAAGAAGGGTCAGGAGAGGTAAAGCTTGTTTTCGTGAAGCACTTATGTGTGTGTTTTTTTCTATTCTGCCTGAGCAGCCTGACAATGTTATTTGCTCGCCAGCAAGAAGTGAAGATCCGAACTGATTTTATCGGACAATGCCAAAACAAGTAGGGCATAATTATTTCCAATGGAGTTCTTTGATCCGGTGACTAACTGATCTACATATCCCCTCCAATGACCAAACACATATAGAAAATAAAAAATAGAAAAGAAAAACAAGAAAATAAAAAATAGAAAAGAAAAACAGTCTCTTCTTTTCTGTACCAGGTAGTTTAATTGTACTTTCTTATCTTTTTAAAGTAGTTGGCCAAAGGGTTTAAGTTCTTGCATAATAAATGGGTATGTGAAAAAAGAAAAAGAAAAACTCAGCTGTTTTCCTTGTAATATGGGGAAAAGTCTATAATTGATGACATTGTGGCGTCAGCTAAGAGAGGAGTTATGAGATAGGGAATTTTACACACAAATTCACTCGCATCACATTTTGTTGCACAATGTCAGATGCCTATAGGCTATTTTCATTAAACGATAATAATAATTTTTTTTAATGGTTTTTTTTTTTTTTTTTTTTTTTTTTTTTTTTTTTTTCTTCAGTTAAAAGGTAAGCATTAAACGATAATAATGTTCTTTCTTAGTGAATTCACTTAATTTGGTTTTCTTATTAAAATAAATTATAAAAATAATTTATGCTATTTTGATGACATATTCTCATTAAATTTGTATAAATTTACTTTTAATTCTTGAAATTATTTGTTTAAATAAATTTAAGTAATATCAAAATTTTTAATGAATATATTACATGAAAAAAATGTATTTTTTATTTAAGTAATTTATTAATTTGTATGAATGTATTGTATGAGAAAATGTATGTTTTATATTTAAAAAGTTTAAACGGAGTATAGTAAGTTTTATTATAAATAGTAAAGTTTTAATAATAAGTTAATAATTTTAAAAAATAATGGTTGCAACTCTATTTTGTTAATAATTTTATAAAATGATGGTTGCAACTCTATTTTTTTATAATATAATTTAAAAAATAGTAAGTATTGGGGACGCACGCAATTTAAAATATCATAAATATGAAAAAAAAAATCTAAGTATAAAGCAACTTAACCAAAGTATAAAGCAACTTAACAAAAAGTAATTACAAATATGATAATTTATATAGAGTACTTTCATATTTGATAAATATTTAAAAAATTGAGACAAAATTATCCCTATCTTTTAAAGAATTTTTCATTACCTCTTTCTCTATATACACACCTATGTATTTACACAACCATCATCGGACCACCACCACAACTATTGGACCACCATCCTTTCTTTAAACACCATCTTTAAACAGGGGCGGAGCCAAAAATTTAAGGTTGGGGGGTCAGATTTGAACTATGTAACAAAAATTTTTAAATTTTATAAATCAATTGTAATATATTTGTGAGGATCGGAAATTATTTTCCTTTTTTCCTTATTTTATTTTGTGCGTTTTCATGTTCGGGTCACGCAGGTCTAGTGTTCGGGGTTTATTCCCGACACTATTCATTTATTTATTTGAGACATGTTGGCATGGCATATTTATTTTGTGTGACATATACATACACATATGTTAATATTTCTAGTTTTGTGGCACATTTGTGATAAGTAAACATTTGGTGGGGCCTATGGTTCACTAGAACGAAAGGTGTGTATGTAGTGTAGATATTAAGAGAAACCCATTTCTTCTCCCCTCTTTTGCCTACACTTTCTTTCTCTCTCACCTCCATCTCCATTTTCTTGTTACTTCAAGCTTCCACCATCATTTTGGCCTTCTATCTTGATGATTCTCACCTTGTGTTAGAAGAGAAAAGTACAAGGACATTGGTGGCTACAAAACCCTTCTTCCAATTTCGGATTTGGAGCACATTTATTTTTTTGGAGTAGCTAGGGTTTGCTCCTAGCTTGAGGTAGGGGTGTATTGTGCTTATAACCTAAGAATTCTTGGGATTTTATGACCATTGTGTGAGTTATTCATATACTTGTGTGTGGGGGTTGGATTAGAAAGCTTATATAATGACTTAATTGCATATCCATAATGTTTCATTGAGTTTTAATATTAATTTTCATGTGTAACATGTTATTTGTTTCATTGTTAACATTATTGATGTTTGTTAAAGTACTAAATCTTAGTGTGTACAATTACTTGTAATTAAAGTGCCTTACATGTTGTGGTTGTTCATGGAATTATCATGTATTTGTTATCTTGTGAGGATTAACTTTGAAGATGTATATTTCTACGATGATATTAAACTTTTATACACTTGAAATTTGATGTAATGATAACATGAAATCACATGACTTTAAAATACCCAATTTGTTGACATTGCATCAAAGAGTATGCCATTATAATGATTTGGACCATAAGACATGGATTAATTGTGTGATTAATATAATTTATGTGCGCTTGTGAAGTGCAATTTGGGAATATCATGGTATATGAATTATTTTGTGGATTTGTTTGTTGATTTTGGAAGATATTCAGGAGTTGTTACTTTGAGAATGCGAAGGCTTGGCGCTCAGGGGTGAAACATGAATTTCCTCACTTTATATTGGCCAATTGGTTGGTTTCCAGCGAACTAGTAATTTGAGAATGACTATTTTTATGTAGGCACATAGCATGACTATGTGACCGGGAGTGTGGGTGTGTTCCGAGTTATCCTATTAATTGATTTCGACTTTTATTTTCAAGTTAGCATCTATGTGTTATTACAACTTGTGGATTTATGTACGTTAGACTATATTGTTTATAAGTTAGAATCTAGATACCCTTTTTCTCTCTAATTGCATTTTTGGGCGATTTAAGGTTTATGACTGTATGCGTGGTGCAGGTTTGGTAGGGGTATCTGATGGAGGGGGCTTCAACCTCCTTCCCCCCGCCTGTAGTCTCTACTGTCTGGCCAACTACTATACCTACATCATCTAACGCTCGTCCTTTGTGGCGAAGTTGTTTTGAAGGAGGTGAACTCTTTCGTTAATCTTCATTATGTTAATACGGCTATTGGTTCTAAAGGTTCCATTACAGAAGAGGACGTTGCAGAGGAAATCAATTACTGGAAATCTTCAGTTGTTGGATATGTGATGGGTAAGCGGCCATACTATCCCCACTTCAAGGCCTTTATTGAAAAATATTGGTCCAAAGCAATCACCTTGGTGTATCTGAAAAATGGGTTCTTCATGGTGCGCTTTCAACATGCAGCCGATGCGCAGAAAGTGTTATCACGTATTCATACATTTGAAGGACGCGTAATTATTATTAAGCAATGGAGTAAGAACGTTACCCTAAAGAGGGAGAATTTTGATTCGCTTCTAATTTGGATTCGTGTGCATGACTTACCAGTCCATTGTAGAAATTCCATTTCATTATCTAAGGTTTGTTTATTGTTCTCAAAGCCGATCTACATCGATGAGCCCTCTTTACATCGTGATAAAGGCGAGTTTGTTCGAGTAATGGTTGAGGTGGATGTTCGTCAGGATCTACCAGAGTCTATGGTGATTGACATACATAGTGAAGATTGCATTGTTAATATTGAATATGAATGGAAACCAGTGGTGTGTTCTTTGTGCCAGCGAGTTGATCATGCTACAGCTAGATGTCCGCAAAAAGTTTTGTCTAAATCTAAACCTAAGCCGAAGAAACAGTTGGTGGACAAATGGGTTGTGAAACATAGAGGGAAAATGGTGGAAGTGGAAGATGGACACCATGTGCTTGATAAAGAACCTGTGCGACAGATACAAAGTGCTCAAATTATTACTCATAATTCTTTTGCGGTGCTTGATCAGGTTGGAGAAGATACAATTTCTGAGCAAGAGGGTCAGGGTTCTATACTGGCTGTTATTCCACATATTGATTTGGTGATGAATAATAATCTGGGTAATAATGAATCTCCTATGGTGAGGGATAATTCTTCAATTGCTATTACTAGAAGGGATATCGTTCTGGACTTATCTGTTGATCCAACTTATAATGTCTTCGATCAAAATACAGTTGTGGTTGAAGAGGTTAACAAGATTGTGGAATGCAATTCTATAGCAGACTCTCATTTACCTATTACAGAATCATGTGTTGACAAGAGTGTAGAGGAATCATTTCTCCATACCCCTCATAATCAAAAATCAGCTGATAATGAGGCAATTTTAAAGGTGGAGTTGAGCAAGAAATCTAGATGCCGAGCCTTGACTGCTTCTGACAGGGTTACTCGAAGCCAAGTAGGAGTTCCTACCCCAACTCCCTCCACTAAATGATTGGTTTTTGGAATGTAAGGGGTTTAAATAAACCCAGAAGGCAAAGGGAGGTTAAGAACTGGATTACTAAGGAAGCTTCTCAATTTGTCTGTATTGTGGAAACTAAAGTAAAGTTAAATTCCTTTGATCTTATTACTAATAGGTTAAGGATTAATTCGGAATGGATTCATAATTATGATACATATGATTTTGGAAGAATTTGGGTGGGATGGAATCCATTATTATTCGCGGTGCAAATTCTCGACGTGAAGGCTCAATGTATGCTGCTCAAGGTTAAAGTTCTTGAAACTGGTGAGTATTTCTTTTATACTCCTGTTTATGCTTTTAATTTGGCTAATGATAGAAAAGGACTTTGGGATTCTCTTGTTTAATATACTGCCATGGTGAATGGTCCTTGGATGGCTATGGGGGATTGGAACTCCATTAGATTTTTTAGTGATAAAAGGGGTGGGAGAAAAGTTCCTCAAAGGTTACTTAATGAATTCAATGATTGCTTGCAAGATGCTGGCCTTACTGAAGTACACCCTACTAATGGAGATTGGTCCTGGTGTAATAGACGGCAGATTTCAAGGAGAATTTATGTGAAATTAGATAGGGTTTTCTTGAATGAGAGCTGGCTTGACAATCTTCCAGGGACTAAAGTTATGTATACTGCTGCAACATGCTCAGATTACTATGGATTGGCGATTCATATCTCTAAGGAGTTTGCAGCTGGTCTTAAACAGTTCAAACTTCTTAAGGTATGGTGTCAACAAGGTTGTGTTAGACCTATTGTTCAGAAGGCTTAGGATAATGTGGTGACTGGTAATCCTATGCATATCCTTTTGAAAAAGTTAAGGCTTGTCAAGACTGCTATTAAAGAGTGGAACAAAAACTGTTTTGGTGATGTGGGGGAAAGATTGATTCAGTCCAAACAGAAGCTTAATCAATTACAGTTGCAACATTTGATTGATCCTAATGATAATAATTTCCAGGCGGAACAAGAGGCTAGAGATAATTATCAAGCTGCTGTTGTTGATCATGAGATTTTGATTGCTAAAAAATCTAGAATCCTTTGGTTGAAGGATACTGATAGATGTACTGGATATGTCTACAACAAAATGAAGCAACATAGAAATTTCAATGCCATCACTATTATGGAACATGAGAATGGACAAACAACTAGTGATCTTAGTTTGATTAGAAGCTGGTTCATTGAATTTTATCACAATCTTTTTGCTAAGAAAAATGAAGAGATTCCAGAGGTTATTCATACTTCTAAATAGCTGCAGATTGAAGAGGTTGAGGCTTTTGATAGAATGGTGAGTACTGAAGAAATTCAGAGTGTGGTGATGGGTTTCAATCCTGACAAGTCCCCAGGGCCAGATGGTTTTCCTTCACGGTTTTATCAAACTTATTGGTCTATTGTGGGCAAGGAGGTGGTTGCAGCTGTGCAGTATTTTTTCTCAAATAGCAACATGCCAATTGGGGTTAGTAGCTGTTTTCTTACCCTTATTCCAAAGGTTGGAAATGCAAAGAAATTAGGCGAATTCAGACCAATTGCCCTATGTAATTTGATTTACAAAGTCATTACTAAAATAATGGCTAACAGATTGGCTTTGGTGTTAAATAGTCTGGTAGGTCCTGAACAAAGTGCTTTGTCAAGGGTAAGAAAATACAAGATGCTTTAATTTTGGCTCATGAGATGATTTTAAGGGACCAAGACATGCTTATATGGCTTTAAAGGTGGATATAAAGAAAGCATTTGACTCAGTTTCTTGGGAATTCTTGTTGAAGATTCTGAAGGGATTTGGATTTAGTGATGTTTGGATTGCTTGGATCTCCACAATTCTTAATTTTACTAGATATTCAGTCCTGGTTAATGGCTCCCCTCAAGGTTTTATTCAGCCGGGTAGAGCTCTTAGGCAAGGATGTCCTCTCTCCCATCTGTTGTTTACTTTGGTTACAGAGCATCTTTCTTCTATTATTAACACTGCTTTTCAAAGGAATGATATTTCCATTACTCATGCTGCTACTCAAACTCAACCTACATTGAACCATGTCTTCTTTGCTGATGACCTGTTGATTACGTGTAAAGCTTCTATCCCTAATGCTAAAGTTTTTGATGGTTTATTTAAAAAGTTTGAGAAGTTAATAGGGTTACAAGTTAGTCAACAGAAGAGTTCTATAATTTTTTCTAGAGCAGTTAGAAGGAAATTAACTATGCTTAGAGTTTTGAAGAACAGTTTCCCATTAAATATTTGGGGTTACCTCTTGGACCTTATGGATTGAAGAAAGCAAATTGTCAAATGTTAATTGATAAAATATTAAGAAAGATTAACTGCTGGTGCACTAGAATGCTCTCCGTTGCTGGTAAAATAGAACTTGTTAGATCCACTGTCAATCCTATATTTTTGTATTGGTGTAGTATTACAATGTTCCTGTCTTTGTGATCAACCAATTGCAAAAAATGTGTAGGAACTTTATATGGGGTAGTACTGATCATTCCAAAATCCATCTCATGAGTTGGGATAAAATTACTAGAGACAAGGCTGAAGGTGGTCTTGGTTTGAGAAAACTTGTTGATATTCAGTTTGCCTCTAGAGTTGTTCTTACTTGGGATTTTTTGGTAAGTAAAGATCGGCTTTAGGTGTCTTGGTTCAGAAACAAATATACTCCTTCATCAAGTTACTGGAATGCCATTCCTAAAATCACTCATGCTGTCATTTGGAGATCCATGGTGGAAATGAGAGATATTATGTTGCAGCATGTTAATTTCTGTGTTGGGAATGGTTTGACGTTTCATATGCAAGATCCATGGTGTCATGGTATGACCTTCTCTCAAAGATTTGGACATCGAATCTTAAGGTCTTTGAATATCTCTAGATCTGCTACATTGAGCATGTTGTTGAGGAATGGTACTTGGGACTGGCAGCGTTTTCAGGGGCCTGGACTACTACAAGTTAGATCGTTTCTGAATGCAGTGCCTATTCATGATTCCATTGATAAGTTCATGTGGGAAAAGGGTAAATTTTCATTCAAGAGAGCTTGGCAGGTCTGCAAAAATCAGGTGGTGGAAGTTGAGTGGTTAACATTTTGCTGGGGAAAAGCTAGACCAAGATGGTCTGTTACTGCTGTTTTTATTCTTCGTAACAAAGTGCCGTCCATGGTTAATCTTCAGAGAAGAAAGGTTTGCTTGTTGCCGAGATGTACCCTTTATCACACTGCTATTGATTCTACTGATCATATTTTTATAAATTGTAGTTTTGCTAAACGTTTTTGGAGCTGGTTATGGGAGCTGTTACAATGGAATATACTTCAGTTTGCTACTGTTGCAAGTACTGATGATCTTTTTAACTAGTTTAAAGCTAAGTCTACTATGTGATTTTATAAGACTCTGTTTGCAGCTTCTCTTTGGGGTATTTGGCATGAGAGGAATGCTAGGTTTTATGGACATGATATTGAGCCGGAAGTTGTTGCTAGAAGTTTATTGTTAGAAGTGTTAGATATTCACAATACTTCTATTTCTGATTTTACTTGTTAAATTCTATGTTTTTTACTCTTTGCTGAGGTTCTTTTATAGCCTTGGCTCTGGTTTTTCTCTGGCTTAGGGTTTGGATGCTTGTATCCTTACTCTTTTTGGTGCTTTTTCATTTTCTTTTTCTGGGGGAATGCCCTCTGTGCTCCTGTACATATTTTTCTTTTCTTTTTATACAACCACAATTATGAAAAAAAAAAAAAATACACTATATTGTTTATGCTTGTCTTGATGAATGGATTAATATTATTTATGCTAGACTAGAATGATCCTATTTAGGTTTCCCTTGAGACTAGACTAGACTAGACTAGACTGATCCGATGACTCGGATATGGATTGAATAACAAATCCGATAACTCGATAATAATCCGAATTCGATAACCCGATACTTCAACAAATCGGACATGGATTAAGGGTAATCCGATCCGATTAAATTTTATATATATATATATATATATATATATATATATTACATTGCAATATTGTATATTATATATGTATGTTATATATATTGAAATGCAATCAACCATTAGATTCATATTTAAGAATCATCTACCGTTAGATTGAATCAGGTGCATACTTAAGATATACACTATCATATATATTAACATCACCTTAGCACTTTAGATAGAAACCCCTTACAGTGTTTCACGATTAGGTTATTAGTAATTAGAAGAGTCCAGGGACTCCACAGATAAGAGGCGAACGTAGAAGATGAAGCAGTGAGGAGATCGGTTGCCGAAAGCCAAATCCCTTATCATGAGTTGTGTTGTTCTCTCCATTTTTCATTCTCCTTCTTCTTTTTCTTCTTCTCTATTCAATCTTACAAACCCTAATTTGTGTTCTTTTTCCTCCCTTCCACATAGATCTGACTTTGTATTTTGTTTTCTTTTTCCCCTTTCTTCTACATCCTTATTATGCAAATAAAGATTTGAAGAATGAAATTATGGGATGAATTCAGTGTTGAATATTTTTTTATGGATTATTAGCAAAATAATTTTTTTGTTTTGTTTTTCCTTGTATTTGTTATGGGTATGTATTATTATGATGTAACTATAAACAAATGAATGAGATTTACAGTTTAATTTTATGTTTAATTTTTCTAATTGTTTGTTGATTTGAGCAAAATTGTGTAATTGATTTTCAAATCGGATTATCGGATCAGATATCCAAATAAAGAAGATATCAGATATGGATTGAGTATAGAAGGATCCGTCGGATTGCCAGATCGGATTAGATTGTCCATTATACTTATCGGATTCGGATCGAATTGACCATGATCCGGTCCAAATCCGATCTGTTGACAGGTCTAGACTAGACGTTAGGAAACATGTTCCTTGTATTGTATGGCTATGCCATGTTTATAGAATTTTGTGAAACCTAATTTATATTTATGAGACATTCCTACGGAGTAATTCGTTACTCACCCCGTTGATTCTTATATTTTTCAGGAAGGGCATTGCCCAAGAGAGGTTCCTCATCCCTAGCTTGATTGAGATATTGACAACGTTTTTGAGTTATTTGTGATAATTGTGACATCCATTGTGTAGCTTACTTTTGGACTTGTATTTTGACTCGTTTTTTTTTAAAGAGGGAAATAGTTTAGGAAATCACCCATGTATCTTTTGGATTTCCAATAGAATTTTCTCTCTCATCTCTTCTCATGTAGTCTCACAACATTATTACCTCTTTATATTTTTTATGGATTGTAATGAGGTAATGGAGGCTACATCTTCTATTTGGATCATATATATTGTTTAGAAGCCATGTTCATAAAACTACAGTGAATGCATGTGTTCGAACCAATTACTAGTATGATTTCATTCGGAGGTTTTATTACAAATTATTATTAATTCTATTATCATTACTATTATGTGCATATAATTAGGTTTTAATAACATCACTGTTTGGGGGCTTTCGATTGATCAGTATATATGTATAGGTGCTTGCCAGGATACACTTTTGTAAAGCCTTATTATTTTCCTTGCCTTGTGTACATGTAAATTGGCTGCGGGTCCCACTAATTGATTCCAATTTTTATTGATTTGTTCATCACTATTGACATGATACTGGTACCATCTAGTTACTCAAAGCCTCGTGGTGTAGCTCATTGACCTTGCATCCCAAACTACCCAGGTTGTCAACATGGGACTAAATAGTGAATTAAATTTCATGCCCACTGTTTTGTCGAACAAGGAAATAGTGTTGCGGTTCAAATATTATTTTCTTTAAAAATCATTATTATTATTATTTATGAGGTGAATGACATCAATTTTTCTACAATTAACTATTTATGTATTTAATTATTTATTTATTTTTATTTCTTCGCGACTCGAGTCATGGGATTTGGGGCGTGACAATATATATATATATATATTAAATAGTAGTCAATAGTATATATATCTTGAAAATTTTAAAAATGAGAAAAACATTTGGACAAAAAAAAAAAAAAAATGATGCTAGGAGAAAATTATGGAGATGAAATGTAAAGAAATAAGTATTGTTAGAAAATCAAATTTCTTTTATCAATTAGTTTAATTTTTCAAAAATTTAATTTTTGGAAGAAGAAAATTAAGTATTTAGATTCCACAATTCAACAACATAATAAATTTAAACTCAATTTAAAAAAAAAAAAAAAAATTCTACAAGATTATTATTGAGTTATTAAAATAGATACAAATAGTTATAAATTTTGTTATTTAGAAGGTGATAAATAAAAGTATTAGCATAGATGTTATTATTATTGTT